TCCTTTTTTTTTTCCCAGGTTCTGTAATGGAAAACAAAAAAAATAAAATCTTTTTTTTTTTTTTTTTTTACTGTGTGTATAAAAATAGCTTTCACTTCACTTCATTTTCACTTAATTGTGCTGTTGTAATCTCTGCATCTACAGGACAGTGTGTATCAGTCATTACAGAGCGTAGTCGACTGGTTCAGAGGGGCGGTTGGAGTTCCTATGGAAACGAAATATAACAGTGTTCTTTTTGGAGGTAACTTCATTACTCTGATGGATGTTGGAGGTTTCTTTAAATGCAGCACATAATTCAAATTGCCCTTTTGTATTGAAGACAGGTACATTGTTTATCTTCATCTCTGGTGTCTTAGGTCTGATAGGCTCTCTCTACAGTTTGCTACAATTTCTGTCGTCGCCCATTACTGGGGCTCTTTCAGATGATTATGGAAGAAAACCACTGCTGCTGTTAACAACCGTAAGTATAGACAAAATGAGATCATACAGGGCAGGGATTCCAACTTTTTTGTCAGTCAAACCCTTTTGACCTAAAATATTTAATGAAGTACACTCTGTGATTTTTAGTTAATATTTTAATAATTTAACAAAACATTTGCATGTTCTTGTGTTGGTCACATGGCATGCAGATAAACAAATAATAATAATTTTTTTTTTTTTTATGATTTAATGAATCCTGGTTTGGGAAACCCCTTTATAGGGTATTTATTAATATAAATTGAAATCATAACATATTACCATTAATGTATGTCTATGCAGTTACTTATGGAAACTCATTTCTGCCACAGAATAAAAAAATGATAAAAAGGTAATTGCAACATTTATCTCACAATTCAGACTTTTCTCTTGTAAACTCAAAGTCCGAATTGTGAGATGAAAAGTCGCAATTGCCTTTATTTTTTTTATTCCATGGCAGAAACAGTCTTTCATGTTTTGTAGACCTAGTAGATCTGAGTTATATTTTGCTTGTTTTGCAGGTAGGTCTCATGGCATCCTACATTCTGTGGGCTTTCTCTCACAGTTTTACCGTTTTTCTGCTGTCTCGAGTGGTTGGAGGAAT